AATGATTTTTGACACTTCTTGGAATGCTAAAGCACTAAAAACCTGTGTCACTGATACAGATAAAAACTTGTGTGATGGCTAAGCCTGTTTGAAATCTTTTCATCCCAGCTTTTTTCGCTGAAGAAATATTTTACAATGTACCTAACATTTTTCCATGAAAAGCCTGTTTTCATTTAAAAGCTGTAATGAAAAAAATATTTTCCTTTAGTATGGAACATGTAAGATTGCTTCAGCTAAAATCTTCACAAGTTATGTTTTTAGTGACATAAAAGCAGCTGGCTTTATAAAAAAAAAAAATTCAATAAAATTACAGTCCTCTGCCATAAAAATGTTCTTGCACTAAACTGAATCAGTAGTCATACTGACGTACATCAGGAGATTTAATAGCCTTGCTGAGTGGAAGAGGTTATCAAATCTCCAAAGAAGAATAAGCATGTTGGACACTAGTCTCAATTCAATTTGTTATGGATCTAATTGGTTCCAAATAAATTTATGCTATAACCTATTTATTTGTCAGTTTCTTTCTACTACTGTATTACATGGAAAGTAGTACTGTCAGTGAAAAAGAAAGAGCTTCTTTCCTTATTTCCCATGCATTTTCCACTGTAACCATAGAATTCAAGGACTTGAAATTTCATGCAGTATCAGGGAACAGTTGATAAAACTGTTAGGTATTTCTTATATTATAGTGTTTGCTAAGTTCTGATTTTATGGAGGAAGACAGTTGCATCTGCTTAATTAAGTAGAAGCATTAAATGGAAGAACTGTATTTTTGAATGTTGATATTTACATTTTATGGATGGTATTCGGTTTAAGGTACTCGAACCCTAAGCAATTTTAAAAAAAACCCAATTTTTTTTTCTCATTTTATTCAAGCTTGTTTCACATTTGATACCTTGTATGGTGTTGTGAGGTCTCTCTTATTATCCTTTAAAAGATAGTATCTTTAAGATAATATTTTAACCATATCTCATAATCCCTTAATATTTCTGAGACTTCATTCCAAAGCTATAGGGATCTGAGGCCTTTTTTTCCTTCTTTTTTCCTTCTTACTGGGATGCTGTTCCACAACCTCTTTCCCGTGATGGTTAGAAACACTTGTATTAATTTGCAGCCTACATTTATTAATGGCCAGGGTTTCCTCACTTGTTCTTGCGACAGCATTCTCATTGGATTTAAAAAGCTCTTCATCTTTTGTTTAACTCTCTCTGTTTAAACCTCAGATGTATGTTGAGATGTTAGTTTTTTTCCTAAAGTTTATTTTTTTTGTTACACTAAAAAACCTAAGCTCTGCTTGTCTCTTAAAATAGGCTTTTATTCTTTATGTCATCCTGATAGCTCTGCTCTGCTGTGAATCAGTCTTTTGTGAAAATAACTGAGCAAGATATATCCTGTGTGGTCACAAGGTATACTGTCTTTAGTACTAGCTAGCTCTGTCAGACCTGCTTGGCCCAGTGCATCCTTACTTATTACTTAAGAACATTAACGGCTTGTAGTTGTCCCGTGATCACCAGTATTTGCAAGTCTGTCTTTCCTTCTGCCACTCAGAAGGGAATTTCTTTGTTGCTCCTGTTTGAATGGAAGACGTTTCACCTTGTGCATTTAAAGTAAATCCCTTCTCCATGTCTCAAGGTATCCAGCTCCCCTTCTATCCGGATCCCCCTCTGCACGATAGTGCCTATGGGTTTTGAGTCATTAGTGCACTTCATTGCCATGGCTCTACTTTGTTGGAGCAAGTACATGATTCCTATTGGCATTTGCCATAGTCATTAATCAGCTGTATTAATAGCCTTCCTGGAGGCTGTGCTTCCTCCTTCTTCACAAACCACTGTCATCTCCACCTTGGCCAATTACCTAATTACAATCTTATCCTGTTCATTTTTCCTATCCTATCTATTGCTCTAGAGCTACAGGTAGGTGAGATTCACAGCACTTGGTTTGTCTAGAAAGTCACGTATCTTGAAATAGCTCTGTATTGTGGATTAAGTATGTTGGTAAGTTGTTTTTCCTTCTCATGGTCCGCTTCATTTCTTGTATGAATGTCACCCTAGTGTGGCGTGTAGTAAAAGCCACCAGAAGAACCCATGACTTCAGCATGGAATTCATTTGCAGCGTACCTGCTATGACTGTCAGGCTGAATCTGTTAATATTAATTGGAAAGTACAGTAACAGCTATTAGCACAACTTAGGTAGAAAACAATTCTTAATCTTCATTCTGCTGTTCAAATGAATGTGTTCTCTGCTCATGCTCGCCTGGGCTTAATGGAGCAATTTGTGTTCCTCTTTATTGAATTCAGCCACTCTTTGTGCACAGGGAGGCTGAGTGATGGCAATGCAGGGAGGGGCCCGGGTAGATGATGCCCAACTCAGCTTTTATGTTGAAGTCGTAGTATCTTGTTTATCTGGCTCACTTTGGGTAAAGTTTCATTGCAGGGTTTCCTGAGAAGTCAGGATTAAGTGCGTTAGTGCAAGCTGCTTTGGAGTAATACACAACAAGCCATAGTAATTGTAACCTCGGTGACAGCAGAGAGAAAGGCAGATACCTCCAGGGTGAGACAGGGTCCCATCAAACACCAGTGACAGGGCTGTGGCTGTTCCCACCTGCCCCCAACCTCAGCACCAGGGCCCTGTTAGCAGTGAGACAGGGCCTGCGTGGCCTCCCTTAAGGACCCATGTCAGCAGTAAAAACATACAGATTTGCTTGTCCTTACTGCTCATTTTAGCAGATCAGTAGTGGCAAGAGTGCACGACAGAGCAGTGGCAGGTAATCTGTGGGTACGCTATCAACTCTTCATCTTCCCCTTGCTATGGAAGCCCAGCTCCAAATCCCTCTTGGATGGCACAGACCACAATGCGTAGGTCAGTGCCTGCCCCGTAGCTCAAGGCGGTTCTTGGTGGCTTTGTTCAGGTGCGCTGCAGTAAGATGTGCCACTGCTGGCATAAAGAAATACTCCATAGGGACGTAACTCCTCCCTGCTCACTTCAGAAACCCAGTTATGTCCTTTAGCTTTTTTCTGTTATGATCCACTCTGCAAGTTTAAACACTGTATGATACAATTTAGAACTGCTCTAGTGCATCACTAGAATCAGCTCAGCGTGCTGTTCAGCATCATCTTAAATTCATAGTTGATTTGTGCTTCCGTTACACCAGTACATACCTAGGTAAAATATATAGACTGAAAGAAACTCATAATATTCGGCAAGTCATGCCATATTTTTGAAAAGTCTGTTCAAAAACCATGTCCTTAGTAAAAATTAGAGCAAGGGTGAGAAAGAAAAATGCTAAAGTGAATGTGTTAATAAGCCTGTGAGATAAAGCATATTGCAAGATAAATCATCTAATCCATAGTTGCTGTCCATGACAAATACAATATAATTGGAATTATTTTGACTTATAAGAAAGGTTAATTAACCCATGGTTCTTCAGCACTTGGTCATATACTAATACAGTTTCAGCATGATTGTTGTTTTCTGTCACTTAGTGGCTGGGGCCATCTCGAGGGAGAAAGATCAGGCTTTGAATGCCCATTCAGGGTTTAAAGAGGGCCTTGAGCCCAGGCCTCCTGGAAAGATGACAAAAAAAGGGCAGGTGATTAGATGTGTTTTTGAATGAATGCTCAGGATCCTGTGCTTTCCTGGGGTTTCTGTGCTGTGAGTATGTGTTATTTTGTGCCTTGAGCATGCCTGCTGGACTCATTTTTCCTAGTTTAGATTCAAGATGACTGATTCTGGCATTGCAGACAGGCTTTGGTGTGAGTTGGGAGGCTTTACATTTAAAAACCAAAGTGCCTGTAGACTCTCAGGTACCTAAGCAGAAATCTCAGTCTTGAGCTTTAAATGTTTAGGTGCCTCTGCTATTTTGGGACCAAGGCACTGAGCAGCTCTGCAGTGTTCTGTACATGCAACCCAAATTTGATAAGCAACATTCCCACTCTTCTTCTGTGTGCTGCATGTGAGGAGTGACACTGCTGTGGTTGTCTGTTCAGCCTTGTTTGGCTGTAAGCACCGTTTGTTGCTGGAAGGGCTTCCCTACATGCACATCCCCAGGAGCAGAAGTATGTAGTAACAAGTGCGATGTTGTGACTTAGAGTACAGTAGCAGTCAGCACAGCAGCAGAGTCATCATTTTGGATTCCAGTTCTCCTTATAAATCAATTCAAGTCTGTTTTCAAAGATCCTGGTCAATATGGGTGAGGATCATCTACATCTCTGTCTACTTCAGCCAGACTGTTGTACCTCTCCTTTCCCATCTTCTATATTCTCAAAGTGGCAGCCTAGCTCCATCCCTGGTGCAATGGAGAAAGCCCCTGAAAAGTCGCACAAGCCTTCGTTTAATCAAATTTAACCATTTCCTACAGATTTAGCTTAAAAAATATAAATTGACAGATAGGATTAAAAACTACTTTTGCCAGGAGCAGATGGTTCTGCAGATCCCTCCAATTCATGCTCGGTGAGTGATGTTTATCAGGTAAACGTAAGATCTGATTTAAAAAATGGATCTTGTAACCTTGTGGAAGTTTACAGCAGTTGCCATGCACATCAGACCCCATGTTTAGAGGGGGCAGTATTTTAACCACTTTTGTGTCCCGGAGGAGTATCAGACAATTGTAATCTCTTTGTAACACTGGTGGTTTAGATTTGGAAGGTTTATATCCTTTATGCATTTCCTTTAACCTATTAAATATGACGGGCGTTGTATATGGTAGCCCTGAATTCCGCTCCTAAAGACTTAACGCTGTACTAGCAGCCTCTGCACTGAGGTTAGTATTTTTACATGGAATAAATCCAAAATATTAGTGTACAAAATACATCACTGATGTAACTTACTATAAAAGTAGTGGTTTTCAGATGCACAGCTGTTCTGGGATCATAAGCCCATATATTGAAGTGCTTAAACACTCCAGTAGGAACTGTCCTGATCATAGGTGAAAAATCAGCATCTTCTTGGAGAGCGAGCTTTGCTTTTCTAGCCTTCTGAGTCTGCCTTTTCTCTTTCTGCAGCTTGTGGATGTGACCTGGCTCAAGGAGGATTTTTTGTGAGACAGGGAGACTACATCTGTACTTTGGACTACCAGAGACTCTATGGCACACGGTGCTTCAGTTGTGATGAATTCATTGAGGGTGAAGTGGTCTCAGCACTGGGCAAAACCTATCACCCAGACTGTTTCGTGTGTGCTGTCTGCAGGTATGTTTTCTACATTAAGTTGCTTTTCATTTAAAAGCTAGATTTTGAAAGACAAATGCCAGGTGTTCAAACTTATAGCCTATAGATGGAAAAAAGAAAAATAGTTCTGTTTTCTGCTATCCACTCCTAAGAAAGTAGCAGTTTTTTTTTTAAAAAAAAGCAAATTCTGAGTGCCTCTTTTTGTTTCAAATGCTTTTTCTGTTTTATTGTATCTTATGTGTGAAGTTTTCAAAGTACTTGAGAAACTGGCACCGCCTCTACTGTCAGACCTTTAGCTCCAAATGTTGCTTTATTTCTCTGGTGTCTGCTATTTTGTCTTTCATTGACTGAAGGTACAAAGGAATCAAATGCCAGTGGCTGAGACTTTGGTGAGCTGAGTGGATACCATATTAATAGATTTAAACCAGAGTTTCATGGTGCTACTTCCCAGAAAATCCAATAGTCATTTAAAATAGGACAGAAAGGTCCTAGACTCACAAACACTTACGTACGTGTTGGATTTCACCGAGGGTCTCCAGCAGCCATGGAGGTGACAAGTGACACAGCACACAAGGTTTTTTTTCCCTCCCACCCCAGCAGCCCGGTGGAGTTCAGCGGGATCACTTCCCACATGGGTGCCTGTGGTGTTGCGACCCAGTGTTGGCGGAGGTGTTTGCAGGCTCTCCAGTACAAGTGATTGATGTCCATTTGACCTGCATCTTAATCCTCTTCTCTGGAAATAGCACAGACAAATCTGTTGAAGACAGCAGGAAGAAACTTTTAAGTCCACCACGCCTTCAGGAAATGCACTGTTCCAGCAGTTCGGAGCAAATGGAAATCCTGTAATAATTTTTCTGGCTGAACTTGAGCCTTTAGCAGTGCAAGAAAAGTAACCCCATGTCCAAAGGGAGAGCACGACAGGGCACTGATGCATGGCATTGTAGATGCTATATGTGCTGGTGCCACATTCCGGTGACTCTGCAGTCCAAGACCAGCGTGGCCGTGTCACTGTGGCCGTCTGTCAGCCGAATCTGCCCAGCTCATAGGGCTGCTGAGATGTCCTCCTGTGCTGATGCAGAAGCAGGACTTCAAATTCCAAACCAGCTGTGTTTCGTGACAGGGTATCAATTTAATATATCAATTGCAGGAATAATTAAATAGCCATGTTAAGGAGAAGACTTTAAGACTAACAAGCCTTTATTGTATTAAATTCTGTCCAAGTTTTGCTATGTTTAATAGGAGATTTTTTCCTTTTGGATACTTTAAATAAACATGAAGAGTAAAGATAACATAAATAGGAGGAAAAATTATTTAATTGGCTAATTGTGGATGTCATGAGTTAACTGCTGGCTGCACATGCTCTTGGCCTGCAGCCTGTCAGTATTACAGCTCTTCTGCAGATGAGCACAACTAATTCTTGGTACCTTTCTTCTTAGCACTAGTACCTTCTGTAAAGTGAGGTATTTCTTCATTTAAGAGAAAAAGAAAAACTGGTTGATTCCATTTTCCTGCTAAATGTGCTTGTATCCTCAGCCACACCATTAGGGTTTAGCATTGAGGCATGAATTATTTACTTGTGTGTTAGTGTACTTAGCAACTTGGTACCTAACTTAGGTTTCAGTCAGGCAGTTGGGGATGCTAACCTCTTGCTGTATTTAGTCAGTCCTTCAGCTGATAGTTTGGAGCTTGGTGGTACAGTTTGTCTTGTTTCCCTGGAAATTCAGAACAATTTTCCATTATGACTGAACTACTTACTCTTAGGTACTTAACAATTCAGGTGAGCTGAATTGCAATACAGTGAAAATACTAGAACATACTACAAAGACCATGTGTATTGAACACATGCTAAAGCTTTTAAAAATGAAGTTCCTGATGAAATAGTATTTCATATAAAAAAAAAAGATTCAGATATGTTCCCTAACCTGTATACGTAAATAATTGCATTAAAAGCTCTTTCACTGGTGAAGTTTCTAATTGCTGCTATCTAAAACTTCAGTAGAAAGACACAGATTTGCTTCTGTTGCTTTCCTTAGAAGGACGTGCAAATTCATGTTGTCTTCATCAGAGCCAACTAATGCCCTGCTAACTAGCAGGATTCAATTAGTGTCTCCCAGGGGGGTTGTAACACTGGCTTGTGGTGTGGAGCAACAGAAGAATTCTGTCATCTGTTTATAGTAAAAACACTGGACCAGGTCCCCAACTGCTTTAAATCAACATTGCTTCAATTACCCCAGTCTTTGCAAGCCAGACATAATTTATGGTTTTTATGGGGAAGAGTGTCCTATCTAAACATCATCAGCATTTATTTTATTGAGTGATATCCTCAGTAAAAATAAGGTGGATAGACTGTAAATAAATGTGGTTTAAGTAGAAAAAATAACTTTGTTTGTTTGTTTGTTTAAAAAAAAATATTAAAAGGCAAAAAACCAAGAGACATTTGATTTGAGGTACAGGATTGTAAAGCACTCCACCTTGGCATTTTCTTTGGTGGGAAGAGTCAGGAGTACCATTTGTGTTGTCATTTCTTACACATGGGCAGAAATCTTAATGCACCAAAAGCGCGCCGTCTGAGGCAGTTGGCGGATCACGCAAACTTCATCTGATGTTGCCTTTTACAGCTGGACTTTAATGCAGGTGCTCTGTTAGAAATCTGTCTTCCAGAACGGTGTGAACTTGAGAGGTGGTGGCTGCCTGACAGCGGGGCTGATCCTGCTCTAATAGAAACCAAGCAAGGCTCTTGGCCACTTCAGCAGGAGAACACAAGGAGGGGGAGCGAA